GGGGGGGGGGGGGGGGGGGGGGGGGGGGGATGGTGTGCAAATCTGAAAATGACATTCAGCCAAGAAAGGAAAACGCACCTAAGTCAAACCACTCAGCATCTGTGGAAAAGGAAAGGGTCGCCATACCTTCTAAATACCTCTGAGATTGAGATTCCTTCTTTGATCCCTCCCTTATGCAAAATCCAGGATCTACATGTGCCCTCAGCCCTTTTTTGTCCATTTGTGACAGTATGAGGAAAGATCTGGATCCCACAGAACAACACGAGCACCTTTTCTTAGCCTACCCCATATGAATAAAGAGCAGGAGGCTACCACAAAGATGACCCAGCAGTTAATTCCTGAAAGCCATAAAATATTAAATTAAGCATTGTACACAGAGATGAGAGAAGAACTGGTAAGTAAGGTGGAACTGAAATTGGGTTAGAGTACAGCTGAAAAAAGAGGTCGGTGGGGTTTGTAGATATAGCATGGGACCTGGTTTGTTGTACACCGGTAGCCTTCCAGCTAAGAAAGCATGTGACCAAAGAGATGCACTAAGATCACAGGCTGTGTTCAGTAGAACAGCACTTCAGACAGTGAGACAGACTTTTTATACCTGAATGGGACAAAAAGGGGAAGAGTGCCAGATGCACAGATAGGGACTGGCTGAAGAAAAGATGAAGAACAGGCAAACCAGGCTTCTGCCTTGTGTTACCATAACCATCACCTAGTAAACTGTCAAGATTTTGGGACACAGCTGAGGTCTGTTTTTGCCAGGCACACTAGCAATTATATTACCTGGTTGTTTTGGCGCATTTTACTGATGAGGCGCATTTTACTGATGTTTTGGCGCATTTTACTTTGTGTTCTACTAACACAAAGTGCAAAGGAAGGTAAGCAGCATTCAGATAGCACGCTTCATCTTTGCTTAGCATTGCCTCAAGTGCTAACGGTTTCAATAAAATGATGCCTGACTCTCTTCAGAAATGTCTATTTCTCATTCATAAAAGAAATAAAAACTCACAAAAAAACCAACAACAAACGTCTTCCTCACAGGAATGTGGTTGTCTGATCACATCTGGTACTTCGGAGGGAGAGTCAGCAAGGGTGCTGGCTTCTGTAAACCAGAAAATTCTATGTGGAGGTACCAACTATGAGCAGTTTTTCCAGCTGTCTACCACACATAATTTTTCACTCTGCCTTTGAGCTAGCTCTGCCTACCCTCACCCTTAGCCTACTAACCAACAAGCACACCATCTGCTCCATGTTACAAACCCTTCAGCCTTTGGTGTAGAATACCATCTAGTACTGCATTTGTGCTTTCCCGTCATTAAACTTCCGCTCCTTTATCACCTTAGCTGCTGTTTCCTAGCCTGTGTCTTGTTATGACCGCAACGTATAGAAAGTAATGCTGAAAGGAGACAGAACTAGTACCCTAAAGGAGCATAAGCACCTCTCTCTGCACTCAGAGGTGAGACAGGAGCCAAGTCTAATAGCTCATCTTCTATTGCAATCACAACTCTGTCAGTCCGCTCCAACTTGGCTTCTCCGCTATTTCGTATAGCTACAGCTGGAGCACTTTCAGACAACAGTCCTTCTGCTAGGGACAGTTATCGTGATAACGGTATTGTCGTCACTGAGTTACAAGTTCAGGGTTTTTTGGCTTGACTGACTTCTATCATAGCATATTCTCATTTTGTTTTGTCCAGCCTTTCTAATCTCTGTGTACAAGAACATGAAACCTACAAAACAGCATCTAATCTTCACGGCAGTAGAGGATATATGTTGTTTCTATACTGGAAAAAAAAAAAAAGGAATAAAATATTTTCTAATTTTTGAAAAGTTATGTTTAATCCAGGACAAAAAAAAGGTTAATTTCAGAAACCTTAACCTTAGTCCTACCATTGCCAAGATAAAGACTTGATGGTGAGAGAGGGAAAAGTGACCGAGTTCAACACCAGTACAACACATCGTACATTAGTCACAAAAAAATATGGATTTAGATTGCTTTCTAACCACTCTGACACCCCACTGATGCTGTCAAGTCACAGCTAGTTTTTATCAGAAGCCAATAAAATACAAGTTAGCCCATTACATGAGGCAACATGCTTGCTCCTTAAAAGAAAGAAAATACATACATATAGAACATCATATACTTGTACTGGAAGCCTCTCTCCACACCTGCAGAAGAGTCCCTCACTGCCCAGATCACTGCAGTGTGTTCTTCTGATCTAAATCAATGAGCAACGCAAAAGAACTGTATGCTCCTTTTTGAGGAGCTTGCTCACTGGTTTATTGATCATTTAAAAAATTGTGATGTCATTAATGTACAGAGAGACTTTTCTACTGCACAGATAACCTTTTCACTACGAGGTAGGAATATGCTGTCTCGCAGGAAACTGTCTCTGTTCAAGGAATAGCTGAAGTGTCACCTCAACCTCTCCATCACTCTTCCTCAAAGAGTTGTTACCTTCAAAGTCTAATCGGCCCATTCAAATGCTAAACCATTAAACAGAGCAGTCTCAGCACCAAACATTCACTTGGGGAAAGAGGCTTTCCAAAACAAAGTGGGTTTTTGTGTCCCTGTTTCTGGGGTGGACTCTTCCTTTCTGTTACTCAAAGTGGCTTTGGCTTTTGAGGCTAACCGGGCTGGAAGGAAAGTGGGGCTCCTGGAAGAAATATATTCTTTGAATTTTTCCTATTTAGGTGCTAAACTCGTTTCTCCCTCACTGCAATGGTAATGCAGGGGATAAAGAGGAATCTTTTCTTTTGTTGATGCAGCCATGATCTGTGATACCTTCTGTGATAAAATATTCCTAATTGCTTCAGAATGCTTAACCTGTTATGTTCTCTCTATAATGAAAATTTAATTGGGTTGAGGAAGAATGATTAAATTATCCAACTGAATCCATTATATTTTCCATTTATTTTATCTATAAATAAAATAATATTCCATTATAGTTCCACTATATTTTATTTCCATTATATTTTATCTATAGAGAAATAACTTGATTAGTTATGTTTTAACAACATGTTTTTCTTAGGTTAAATTTGTATTTCTAGTCTAGGTCAATATTTATGTGACTTGTTAGTCGGGCATACCTGCCATGCTGCAGAGGTTTAAACGCATCCACAACCAGAAGCTTAAGGCTGTAGACACCTGTTTCCCACATGATGTATTTTCCGCTAAGACTGTCTTGAAATTGCTATTGTCATTTTTGCTAGCCCCACATCATCTTCTTCTTGCAGTCCTAAAAATTCATAATGCATCCTGGACCCAAATCAAGGAAGGTCAGTGGGAGAACACGTGTCACGTGACGAGAACACGTCAGCAATGGACAAGGGAAAGAAGTGGTACCATCTCCTGACACTGTTTTCCTTTGCTTCCCACATAGCCATGGCACAGGAGTTCAAAGGGTCTTTCTGCACTGGAAAATTGGATTATTCATATTTGACTGCAAACTCCAGGATCCTGGATGTGTAGGATGCTTGCTTTTCTTAATTATCTTTCACAGACCCCAGGCTGAAAACCACTGCTCCAGACATCTCAGTTCAACCCAAGCAACAGAAAGGTCAAACTGTTCTGGCCAACAACATACTCCACATGAAAGATAAAGCCAGTCCAGCGGTGCTTTGGGAAAGACCACCTTGAAGCTGTGAGGAAAAGGGGCCCGCATACAGCAAAAGAAGAGAGTTTGAAGGAAAGAGAGCACTTTGAATCTAGGCTTCCAGAGCGGTTGTTTAAAGACCAATATAAATGCAGCTTCATAGCCTTAGGAAGTGGAAGATTGGAACTGTGTCTGAACAGACAACAGTGTCAGAGGAGCCTTGTCACCATTTTAGTACTACAGACTACAAGATCGGAGTGTTTCAACATGCTTTGGCCAATGATGTGGAGTAAAATACTCTAATTCCACACAACGTTTTAATCTCAGCTGCACAAGAATGCTAAGGCATCATTATAACTGGGAAAACACTAACACTGATTTCTTTAGTCATAACCTGAATTTCACTCCTCTGTTCCATCCAGTGTAGCACAGGGAAACCCTGCACTATTTTGCCCTGTCTGTGGAAGAGGCACACTTACTCTAGTTAAGTGCCTAATAATGTTGCAAATTAGAGCAGTACTTGCACTGTACATTGCTGATTTTATATGCAACAGAAAGCAGGGAGGTATTTACAGCTTGTAGTATCAAATGGTGGTGTTCTTGCATTTTTCAAATTATTTCTGAGACCATTTCACTGCCAGCACACACCTTCAGGGAGAAGTGCTTTCTATAGTTTTTTATTTTGTTAGTGTAAATATTGAAATATTACTGAAGAAACAATGAAAATCAAGCTACTTTAATGAACTACATACAGCTTGATAAATTTTTTCCTGCTTTCTGTGGGGAAAAAAAAAGCCCTTTATAGAGACATGTTCAGTAAATGAGAAGAGACGATCAGATATTTTCCTCTCCCTTGGTAAGACTCACATTTGTTACTGCCCAATCTGCCCCACTGGCTGTAATCTCCCTGTTGCTCTAATCTCTTCGGGTCATTTTGCATTTTGAGTCTATCTTCTTGTGTTTGCTCCCATTCTGACTCTGGTGTCATCAACAGATGTGATCACTGTTGTATTTACACTAAAAAAAAATCTGGCAAAGAGACTCATTAACAGGCTTCAGCCTCTGCGCAGCAACTCAACAGTCTCAGGCCCATAGGGGAGCTCTGTTTGAAGTCTGACACACGCACTATTGACACTGTGTAGGAGGCTTTTGTTTCAATTATGCATTCATCCACTTGTGACAAAATCAGCCCCATGGACCACCAGGAAGTGCTCTGTGAACCACCAGTAGGGTCATAACCCACACTTTGAAGCCTACTGTGACACTGGGTTAAAAGTTTATGTTAAGACATGATTCCTTTTACATAAAATTCATATGGTTCCCTTTTACTTCTGTTCATAGAAGGTTAAAGACAATAGCTTTTTTCACAGAAAATAAAATACTTACTTAAATCTCCTTGAGCTTGAATGCACAAAGGAGTAACAAATACCACTTACTTAAAACTAATGTGCAAAATGAAGAAAAACTTTTTTTCTTTAGAAGATCCTTAAAAACAGTAAGTGTGGAAAGTCTACTGACGTTTTGTCGCTTTTTTAGAAGTAGAAACTGAGATCTGATCTGCCCTGTAAGATTTTTCAAGTGAGAGAAGAACTAGTACATTTCTATCTGAAAGGGGATAAACCCCTAAACATGAAAAATTGAAACGAAAGCAGAACTTCAGTCAGAGGATTCACAACTCTAGATTCATTGTTATCTGTTGAAATCCACTAAATTCCAGTCACTAATGGTTATTTTAGGAAAGATTCAATTGCTTTTCCCACTCCTTAAGTAGGATAAAGTGTAAAACATAACGAGCAAGGTGCCCAAATGAAAGATTTCAGCCCTTTTTTATACGCTCTGGATATTAAAAACAAAAAAAAAACCACCCAAGGATCTTTCAAACTAAGATCATTTTATATATCTCATTTTAAAATTTGCCTATTAAGCACCAAGCAGAACTACACCAATAATTACAGGCAGGTTGGACGGGCCTCCCGGACAGAGCAGCATGCTCTAAAAGCACGTTCGTTTGTTTTTTCCTCAAGATCAGCAGAACGCAAATTTAGATGTAAAACCCTGCACAGAAGTACTTAAAAGACCAAAGCCTCAGTGAACCCGTCACTCTGCAAGGTGAGATATGTAACATCAGCCTGGACGTGTGAGAAACAGTAAACCTGTTTCTGGAGCTGCCCTGCAGCGGCGGAGGGGGCACGGGGCTGAGGGACGGGGCAGCGGGGTTACCTGAGGGGCGGCCGCGGTCCCTCTTGCCACGCGCGCGCGCGCACAAACA